ATGGGTACTTTCAGCTCCCAGTCAGTATCAATGGACACTCAATTCCCAGTCATCATTAACGCACACTCCTCAGGACCAGAGTACCTGTGTTAACTTACAGGCAGCGTGACGCGGCAAGTCATGGTTTGTCAAGGAACACGACTCACATAAAGAGAAGGAAAAAATAAGAGAAAGTGAACTTCTCAGAAGCAGATAGTCCCACCTGCTGGTGTGACAGAAGAGGGAGGTAAACTGAGGAGCCATCATGCATGGTGAAAGGGACAGACTGACAGCAAGTGACAGCATGAGGGACAGTGACAGCAGTAAGACGGCACAGAGGGGAACTTAGGTGTATGCGAAACAATTTAAGAAAATCACATATTATCTGCTTCTGAGTACAGAAAAAACCCTTAGATACACTTGAAACTTAAATACTTATATTTTCCTCAAGATTCGGGATTTTTAAAGTAATTCTCTTGTTTTTCTGTTAATTCAGTATAATTTTTTCAAGTGTGTCAAGTTTATTCTGAAACTTACTGCTCAGTCTACTGACTTCCACGATATTGGCTTCTATTTATTAATTATTAAGTCAACGGGAATATGCGTACACTTATAAACCATCAAAAAGACAATCATTTTCTTGGCTCATTTAAAACATTAAATAAAGTATAAATTAGTTCAGAACAATTACATCTTAAGCCGCCTCGGTACCTATTACCTGCAGACAACCAGAGCCCTCAGAATTTGATACTCAGTCTCGCTTCTTAAATTTATTAATTAATGGAAGGTAAGTATTTTGCCACACAAAAATATATAGCCTACATTTTAAATAAATTTCCTTTGGTTTAATTTTTTTTCGCCCTTTAAAATCATTTGCGCCTGATCCTACACGGTAATTGATATTCGTTAAAAGAAATCCTAGCTAGGATTTCTGTTATAAAACTCTTCAGCTCATTAATTTCCATCGAAATTTTGCATTTGTAACATATCCTCACTGTAGACTTATTATATCTACAGTAGTTACAGTTCAGCGCCTCAACTAATAACACAGTGGTGACATGATCTTTCACTTGAACTATCAGTACGTCCCAGGTGGTGACAGCTTTCTTAGAGCAACTGAATTTTTTTTTTTTAATTTTCACGTAAGATTTCGCAGTCCGAGAAGATAAACTTTAGATAAATGTCTGATAACGGTGACATTAATCACCATTAGTCACCTACAACTGTTTTTAAATATAAAATAATGCACAGGTACTTGCGCTAAATATCAAAAGCAAAATTATAATATTCAACCAAATAGCAGTTTTTAACCCATACGTGTCATAAGTAAAAAGTGGTTACTACAAGCAAAGCTGGAGAGCACACTTCTCTACGCTAAAAATCCCATCCTAAACATTATATACTGGTGGGTAATCCTGCATCACTGTTGAACACCTAGACTAGATATTTTGAAGACCTTTAGTATAGAAGAAAAGCAGCTCCTTAGCTCTGGAATAACCCCTTAAACTCTGATATTCACGAGCAGACGCTGACAATCACTATTATAATACTTTCCTATTAAACTAAAGATCATCAGTACAGTGACTCCTCATTAGTTCTAGCGTTCAATTATGCAATTATTCCTTTATACTCTCGTCTTAAATTTTATAATGCTACATTAGTCTCTTACATTAATTACTGCATTAGGTCCCATTAGAATCTGGTACTATCTATTACGATAACTTGCCTTTAGGTTCAGCCATTCACTGTTTCAGTGACTACCAATTAGGTTTTGGTATTAACTATCATGATATATGCATAATCGATGTCATAAATTGAATCTGTGTAAAAAAAATTTGTCTCATTATCTTGCAAAAAGTTTTTTATTATATACCAAATCAAATCTATCACAAGGCTTAATACTTTTATAGTATATTTTCTTGTTATTATAATTAACTATTGATTTAAATCACGAATACTCAGCAGAGGTCTGTTATTTCCTAATATTCTTGCACATTGTGTTCTAATTTTCTGTGCAGAAATTATTGTCATAATCTTTCAACGAAGAAAAAGCGCCTCTTTTCAATTTGGTCGAATAGAAGAACACCAAAATTTGTCATTATTATCTCCAAGAGGAAACTATTGAAAGTCTAGGGGCAGAATCAGGAAAATACTGCAAGAAATTACAATATCTTATCACTCCCATGGCTAACACTACCTTATCTAAGAACCCTCAAATATTTTCCGCCGGAGAAGCCAAGTGGACTATACTCAACAGACATTCTTCATCAGAAGTCACCTTAGCTCGCCTTTGATGGCAGCTTGCAGAGGAGTCTGTTTCCTTGTCTTAATTACCCCTTGTCAGTTAAGGCGGAGATATACTGTTAAAGCAGTACTGCAATATTTCTGCATCAGTTCGTGTCTGTGTGGGTGTGTTTATCTCTCTGTTTGTCTGTGTGTCCGTTCGGTCATCTTAACAAAGATGTAACTCGAACATAGTTCAGGCGGCGGGGCTCCTAGACTCCTGCGGTCAACCTGTTTATTTCATAATAAATACTAACGGTTACCTTTGCCAACTGAACAGTATATGGCTGAAAATATGTAAGCCAATTTCATAAGCTCCACAACTAAGTAATTCATATTTTATGAATAAAATAAACTGATTCTAATAAAAACTAAAATACAGTAATCTTAGATATGATTTTTTAATGTACTCGAGTTATGGATAAATGTTTCAAGTTCTAGAGCTTTTGTAACGTCTTTAAGTTAATACCGACTTAAATACTCTAAATTTTAGTATTTTATTCCTCAACTTAGAATAACCTTAACAGGCAACTTATCGAGAATACTTGTGCGTTATTAAGCAGAACCCAGTGAACCAGTGGCTTTCAGCACAGATTGTTGTTGCTGATGACGTGTTGAAAGTTTCAAGTCCTAACAATTTAGTTCTCTGTTTGAGATGCACATCGTGGTGCTGAGAGCTCGGTAAGGATCCCTGGGATCCGCTCCTAACAAATGTGTCTGGGTCTGTGGCCACCAACATTATTGTATTTGCATTATTATCCTGTGCGTGTGCATTTTCTATGATTTGTTACGTGATGGAGTACGAGTTAAGATGCATCTAGTAAAAACTGATACATCTTCCAACCTCTGCTGAAGCTTACCTTCTGGTGGCTGTCTGTAGTGAGTCATACAAGGGCAGCGTAAACATTTTTTGTCTTCAAAAAATTCCAATTGTATTTATTTATGAGATATGTAACTGACGACACTTCACAAAGAAGGTAATTTCCTGTATTATTTTCCATTCTCATGAAGAGATTAAAATGATTAGCAACAACCCATAATGTTGTGCTCAGCAACAACCTGTAATGTTATGCTCAGCATCAACCTGTACTGTGTTGCTCAGCAACAACCTGTACTGTTATGCTCAGCAGCAACCTGTACTGTTTTGCTCAGCAACAACCTTACTGTTATGCTCAGCAACAACCTGTGATGTTATACTCAGCAACAACCTGTGCTGTTATACTCAGCAACAACCTGTACGGTTATGCCCAGCAACAACCTTACTGTTATGCTCAGCAACAACCTGTGATGTTATGCTCAGCAACAACCTGTGCTGTTATACTCAGCAACAACCTGTACTGTTATGCCCAGCAACAACCTGCTGTTATGCTCAGCAACAACCTGCACTGCTGTGTTCACTATGGATTGTAATGCATTTTAAATATTTTTAGATTTATTACAACAAAATTATCCTAAGAAATTGCAGTCATGTGGACAATATCGTGTTTGAATTTGATGGGCAGGATTTGTCTTCAGCCTCCTGAGTAAAACAACAGTTCCAGTGTGTAGATATTCAGTTGAAATTTATAGTGATATACAGGGTATAGTGGTACATTTCTATGTGAAAAGCACAAATTACGTATGTACAAATAACCTTGGCTCCAACTTGTAAGTGAACTTTGTACTGTGAACTGAGTCAGTAGACGTGAGGAATGAACCTCTCTACGGGTGCGAACATTTTTCATAAAATGCAATAATATTTGTGATGTTATATACAATGGTTTACGAGTGCACAGATGTTCCCGCTAGTGAAGGACTAAACTAAACGCGTGTATTCCGAGAGCTCGTGGTGAGTCAGGCAGCTGTGAACAGTAAGTTGGCGTGATCGTGGAGTACCCTACCTTTCCGCCGTGGCCTCGAGACGCCGTCAGAGGCAGTAGGGGAACTGGCCTCCTCCTCGTCCTCATGAATCGTGTACACTTCCCCTGGAGAATGATCGTAGAATGTCATAGCAGTCAACAGGCCAGGAGAATCCGGTTCTTCCTCGCTGTCCTCCTCCTCCTCCTCCTCCTCCTCCTCCTCCTCCTCCTCCTCCTCTTCCTCCTCCTCACCAACACCACCTTGATCTTGTTCTTGCTGTGAGCCCTCCTCACGTTTATCCGATTCCTCTTCTGCTTGCACACGTTTCTCAGTCAGGTCTTTTGCAGCTACTTCTGATGGAGGATCTAATGGCTTATTCAGAAATGCCAGATATCGCTTCACGTCTTCATCTGTTACTTCATATGACTCTTTACTCTCGGGTCCTTTACTTCCGCAATCATTCTTGCCTTTTACTTTATCATTTTCAGGTGAGTTATGTAGCTGTTCATCTCTTATCTTTGTTTTCGAGTCTACTTCACTGTCAACAGGAATTTTTATTGTAACTTCCGCGGGGCTTAAACTCTTAGAATCGCTGAGAAGGATGGAGTGAGTAGAAGTATGGCTAATGGTAGTTACCTCCTTCGATGATGCCTCACTCTCCTTAGATGACTTATGGGTCTCCGGAGAGCGACTCTCAGTGGTGGGGAGTTGGGAAAGAAGTTCTTTTGCTGACAGCGACAGGGAAGAGTCTGTACGGGAATCTGTTGACCTTTTTTGTGGTGTAAAATGAGTATCTTTTACAGAAGAAGGGCGTGAAGTTTGCGAATAAGGTTGGGTGGAGCTTAAAGGAAGGAAAGAGCTGTGGGGGGGCAGGTTAGAGGACTGCTTGGCATACTCACGGTCAGCACCCAGCTGGCCCTGCTGCATCGCCTCCTGCTGAGAGAGGAACCCTTGCTGGCCCGCGCGTAGCTCAGCCTGAGGCGCGAACATACCCTGTAAGGCGAGCAAGGATTTAGCAAATAGGTAATATATGTAGAGCGTCGTGGAGCATATACAGATAGGTTGTGAAGGTCTACCAGAGAAGTAGTTAAGGTACTAGCAGTGCGTAGGAGAGAATACATAACTCCAGTAATCACTTAAATAAATGAGTATAAGATTCTAATTAAAATAAATATTTTAACAAATATTAACATGCACCAGGCCATTGGATCTACACATAAAAGAGAAAAAATTAATTCCACAGCAAACATAGCAACTATTTGAATAGTTAATATAGGCCTACCCTGTCCGCCTCGGCCGGCTGCTGGGAGGTGGAGCTTGGGGGAGCTGATGAGCCTCCCTCGCCCATGGTGGTCACGTGCTGGCTACCTCCACGTTGAACATGGGAGTCCTCTTTGGGACGTGGCGCTTCCCCTGCCTGGGGTTGAGGCGAACTAAGAGAGGAAGAGGCGTTTTGGCTCCCAACTGTACCAGATGGACCAACCTGGGACCTCATAGGAGATTGTAATCCTTGAACTTTAGCACCGTTTGGACCACTAGATTGGCCTAATGGCCCATTATGCATGCTGGGTCCACGAGGAGGAAAAGCCCCATGATGACCTGCAACTGTAGGCCCTTGGGGTCGAGTACTGTGCAGCCCTGATGGACTGTTGGGACCGTGATGCCCGTGAGGTTCAGGGTGTCTCGCGTGTCCCTGGGGGCTGCTTGAACCGAAAGGACCGTGTGGGCTCTGTTGGCCTGTCCCGTTGGGTCCGAAAGGTCCGTGTGGGCCCTGAGGGCGCATGCTAGGAGGTCCTGGTTGTTGTTTGGCAGGCGGCTGCTGAGCACTCCCAAGGCCGCCCTGCTGGAGAACACGCTGCTCACTACACCATCACTACAGTACCACCACTACATTACTCCTGCCATAGTGTGCCACCTTTACACTCACCGTGGCGGCCCCTGTGAAACCTGAAATCTTGAGCAGCTTCTAGTGTTGCCTCACCCATTGCTTACAATCACCTACATCTATGTACTTACACAGGTAGAAGGTTACTTCTACGGAAATGGGAGGGAACATAATCTAAGCTATTGTATATCCAAAACGAATCTGCATTTCAAAATTAATTTTCTTGCACTGAAAAATTTGAGAACATAAAAAAATCAATCTAGTAACTACATCTAAACTAATCCGAGCATATTTCTCTTTCAACAACTGCAATGCATCTAGAGTTGTTTTCTCTCCACGCTTACTATATTGCAGACCAACAAATATGGGTTGAATCAAGGCATCATTTACTGTACGTACTGAAGACCAATAGACTAACGTTATATGTATCACTAAGGTTAATCCTGAACAATGTCATCTAAAATACAATTTAAATACCGTAATGGAGCCTACTATAAGTTTGAATAAGTTGTGTGTACTGGTGGAGTGGAGTCTAGCCTAGTCTCAGATTGAGCAGCTGGCAGCCTGGTGGGTCACCTGCCAACTTCACAACTTCAGTTTGTCTCACATGTTGAAAAGGAAATAATTATATCATAATTAATATGGGATGCAACCGATCGTTTAAAATATATTAATTCTATAGAGAAATTGTCTGCTTCTTTAAGTGTTTCCCAATACTCACACACACATTTTATATATATATATATATATATATATATATATATATATATATATATATATATATATATATATATATATATATATATATATATATATATATATATATATATATATATATATATATGTGTGTGTGTGTGTGTGTGTGTCTGTGTGTGTGTGTGTGTGTGTGTGTGTGTGTGTGTGTGTGTATTTCTGCGGAATATATATATATATATATATATATATATATATATATATATATATATATATATATATATATATATATATATATATATATATATATCCTAAATCAGAAACTACTGACAATTCATAGTTTTTGTATTAATGTCTCAGTAACTCATATCTGATAATATTTTCGGCAATGTTTTAGTAACATGGCCAGAATGGTCCCCCAAGGCCTGTGGTCCGAACTGTCCACCTAAAGTACAATATGACAGCAGGCCGAGCAAGGTGCAGGAGAAGAAGCGTTTAGTGTGACCAGCAAGTACAGACTGGGTGAGAGAGTGCTGCTCAGCCCAACACAGGCCATAGTGCTCAGCCCACACCACTCATTCACACTTCTGTGGCTGGGCTGTCACACTTGAGAGTCCACTCCAGCACTCCTAGAACGGACTAAATGTACCCGTACTTAAACTTGGAGGTTAGACTCATAATGGGATAGGTAAGTTGGGTGTTGTTGGGCTGAGAGCGGGCAGTAGAAAGTCAAGATGCGCCAAGAGTGAGCAGGCTCAACCGTACTCACGGATATTTTCTGCTGAAACTGTTGTTGTGCTTGTTGTTGTTGTTGCTGCTGCTGATGCTGCTGTTGCTGCAAACTTTTTTCGTCCATCACACCAGTCTGAAATAACAGATATCAAATAATTGGTTAGCTTAAATATTACCTTCTCTTTTCCGAATATTTATATATATATATATATATATATATATATATATATATATATATATATATATATATATATATATATATATATATATATATATATATATATATATATATATATATATATATATATATATATATATATATATATATATATATATATATATATTTAGATTGGGAAAACAGAAGTGTATAAATCACCGTGTGTCACAGAAAGACATCTGGTTGAATCAAGTTTGATTAGAGAAATTAATTCTACAAACCTTGTTGATGGTCAGTAAAAAACTGATATGTTACACAAATTTATTTGTCAGTGGCCCAAGGTTAAAAATGCTTTGAACACATTTGAGGTAGATGTAGGATAGATGATTAGTGGGTCTCATATTTTTTACCTGACCTCATGTTTTGTAAGGTCACCCTGTGTACATAAGCCTCCATTGTTTCCCTTTTTCCTGTGTGATTTTATCAATATATATATATATATATATATATATATATATGTATATATCAACAGTAACAGTACCAATACCAATGCACCTTTATAAATTACATAGCTCGGGTGTAAACTGTTGCCAGAGCTTGGCAGCATTATAATGGCGACATATTACGCGACATTCAAATGAGTTTATCAGTGTGTCAGGTGTGAGGAAGTGACTACCAAGGTCCCTTCTGGATTTATCATATTTTGTGGAATAAAAGATAACTTGATCAGGCACTGGCAGACCCAGAGTAAGAATATATACTTCAAGAACTTCATCTGCTGTTAGGGGCCACGAACAAAATGATTTATACGCATAAGAGGTGAGCAAAAGTCTACGGTCAAAAGAGAACGTGATAAAGAGAAAGAGTTTGGTCTCTATCGGGCATGTCATTTAAGGAAAGTTTGCCAAATACAACATTAGTTGTTGTAGTAAGGAAGTTTTCGGCAGATCGCTGAATGAACTGATAGAGACTGAATTATCTTTTGGTAATGACCGAGAACGTGTCATTAGGAAAGGAAAGGATGATAAAGAGAAAAATCAAAAGCATTTCCCTTGTGTTTACAAAATGGTAGAGCGAAGCACAACAAACTTTATGGCAAAGTAAGAAAAAAGGAGAGGGCGTGAAGGTTGGGGCGGGAGGCTACAGTGAACGTACTGTACAATACGGTAGTTTCAGGAGAGACGAGTGTGCTGTGTTTCGCAGCGACAGTCAAGTTGGAATATTATTCTCTATCAGCCTTTTGCTCTATATCAGGAATTCGTACACCAAAATATAACGCAAGAAAAGTTTTCCGCAGAAACGTAGAAACGAAGTCAAATATACCTGTAAGTGGCGAGTAATTGAGTTATTACGCGTCAACGGAGCGACAAGAAATTCAGGGAGGGAAATTATTCAAGGTTGGTAGTATAGACCTGGCTTGTGTACCTACAGTATATACGTACATTTCTGTGTGTTGTCAACACAACTAGGCGGTGAAGAATAGTTTCAGAAACGGATATTATGACAAGTGAGTCAACTTGAGAAGATTGAGAGAAAAATGACGTAGAGAATGAGATTTTGTAGTACAGAGAATGGATAATGTGATTTTATCGAATAATAATTAAAGAAAGGAAGCTGGAATAAAAAATGCCGAGTGTGCGATAAATTGAGAAAATAAAGCGAGTTTTAGTATGGAGATGAAAATGTGTATAGTGTGTTCACAAACTGCAAGTGCTATTAAGCATTTATTGCGTTTATCTAGGGAGGTGTTTTTGATAATAATAAATACTGGCTTACAAGTCATTAATAACCTCTATTTGTGCACAAGTTAATTATTTCTCTCTTAAAAGGAGCAGTCATAGTTTCTTTGCTTGTATCATTATTGGTTGAAACTACGCTGACCTCTTATATAATTTTCGTCACCACAATAACTAGCCACGGATGATAACATCGTTTTCTCTCATGATATTTGTATCATGCCTATGAGTCTTCGTCCCACCTTTTCCTCGCTTGCTTATTCGAACTTTCCTTCACATGCTTGTACAGTCTTTGCCTCTCATGCTTGTACAGTCTTTGCCTCTCATGCTCGTACAGTCTTTGTCTCTCATGCTTGTACAGTCTTTGCCTCTCATACTTGTGCAGTCTTTGCCTCTCATGCTTGTACAGTCTTTGCCTCTCATGCTCGTACAGTCTTTGCCTCTCATGCTTGTACAGTCTTTGCCTCTCATGCTCGTACAGTCTTTGCCTCTCATGCTTGTAAAGTATTTGCCTCTCATGCTTGTACAAACTTTGCCTCTCATGCTCGTACAGTCTTTGCCTCTCATGCTCGTACAGTCTTTGCCTCTCATGCTTGTACAGTCTTTACCTCTCATGCTTGTACAAACTTTGTCTTTCATGCTCGTACAGTCTTTACCTCTCATGCTCGTACAGTCTTTGCCTCTCATGCTCGTACAGTCTTTGCCTCTCATGCTTGTACAGTCTTTGCCTCTCATGCTTGTACAAACTTTGTCTTTCATGCTCGTACAGTCTTTACCTCTCATGCTCGTACAGTCTTTGCCTCTCATGCTCGTACAGTCTTTACCTCTCATGCTTGTACAGTCTTTGCCTCTCATACTTGTGCAGTCTTTGCCTCTCATGCTTGTACAGTCTTTGCCTCTCATGCTTGTACAGTCTTTGCCTCTCATGCTCGTACAGTCTTTGTCTCTCATGCTTGTACAGTCTTTGCCTCTCATACTTGTGCAGTCTTTGCCTCTCATGCTTGTACAGTCTTTGCCTCTCATGCTCGTACAGTCTTTGCCTCTCATGCTTGTACAGTCTTTACCTCTCATGCTTGTACAAACTTTGTCTTTCATGCTCGTACAGTCTTTGCCTCTCATGCTCGTACAGTCTTTGCCTCTCATGCTTGTAAAGTCTTTGCCTCTCATGCTTGTACAAACTTTGCCTCTCATGCTCGAACATGCCATGTCATTTCACCACTGTAATCCGTATTCAAGTTAAGTCGCTTCCGCGTCGATTTTCACTTGTTTTCTTACAGATGCAATTGAAACGTAATAAAATCAGAAATTTCTAAGGATTGAAAGTTGGAACTGAGACGAATTAGTTCAAGTGAACCTCTCGTGCATGGACTGTGAGGTGGAGATATACAAGTATATATAGAAGGCCAGCGTTAGTGTAAGATAGGCCTTGGTCAGTGGCAGATGCCATAATTCTCAAAAGAATATTTCATAACTGCATCTATTTGAATTGAATTGAAACAGTTTATTGAGCCAGAAATTTGAAGGAAAAAATGGATATACAAAGAAAGTCGAAAATACTAAATAAGGCTTATGAAAAACTTTCCAAAGAAATATTTTCTTAATAGGAAATGCAAGAATACAGATGATGACAAGAGACGTATCTGTAGGGAAAGGCACAGACAAATTATATAAATTAACCATAAAAGAGGATTTAATGGGGTGTGGCTATTAAAAGTAAAGACAATAAGAGATATGGGCAGAGTACGTAGAAAAACTATACAATAATGAGGATAAAGTAGAGGTAAGAAACGAAAAGGAAATAAAGACCTTCCTAGTGATTAAAAATATATATAAAGATTTGTATCATTACCTAAAAAGCCAGGAGCCTTAGAGTGCACCCAGTGTAATAAGTCATGCCTGCAAATTTATATTAAATATAATTTTAACTAAAATAATATTTAGCATAGATAGCGGGTTATATGAAGATCAAAATTAATTTAGACTGAGAGAGGGAACTAGAGAAGCATTATTCATTTTCAGAATTTTGAGTAAAAGAACTTTAGAAGTCCAAAGAATTTTGTATATCCGATTTGATGATGTTAAAAAAAGCTATTAATTGGGTAAAACACAGTACATTTCTGGATGTTTTTAAATAATATGCATCAATCAAGGATATATTAGAATTATAAAAACAAATCTCTTCTGGTAACATGAGGCTGCGGTGTTAGTAAATAATAAATTTACTATAATTAGTTCAAAGTTAGAGAGGGAGGAAAACACGGCTGGTGTTAAGGAGAATCTTATAAATAAGTTACACTGACAGGAAAACAAATTAAGAAGTATTAAGATTGGCAAAAACTTCATGAGAAATTCTTGAAATTTATAGAAAAATAAAAATCCGATGCTTTAGTTATATTATTAGGGATGAGAGTATAATAAACGAAATATTAAGGGACAAAGTTGAGGGTAGGAGGACCAGGAGAAATCAGAGACTGGCGTGGATGAATGAAATTGAAACTTGGTTTCCCAGAGAGAATCAAATAAAAAACTTTTCGATTAGAGGACTGTGGTCGCCAACCCTCAGATAAGAGGATGGCACTTGTGAGTGATTGATTGAATAAAGCAGAAGTTATACCATTGAGGGACATTAACAGTGATTGAGGACATACGTTAACACTAAATTTTCAAGCTCGATTTCAAGAATTTTACAGATGTACCTCGACGTAAACGTTTTAGAAGGATATGTTACACCATACATTACCAGGTGGGGGCATGAATTGTCAGATCACTGATGTTAGATAGTATATACAGTACAAGCCCGGTGTCGCTCACCGTTATTTGAGCCTTCAACAATTTGTTATTGATAAATGAAGAGGAACAATGGTCAAACATGAGTCTAATATCATCATGGAAGGACACCTGTCGCTGAATTTGGAGTAAGGGGGAGAGCTGTGCTGGTAAGTTCTCCTCCATATCTTATTGAATTTAACTCATTCCACTGAGGTCGAAGATCAATGGCTCCCAATCGGGGTTCCCGGAACACAAGGGTTTCACGAGCATCCTTCAAGGTTCCGTAAAATTCAGTAATAATAACGATAATAAAAATGGAACAGATAAAATATAAACATGTTTTAAATTCAAATATGGATCTCTCTTAACTTTTGTTTGGCTTAAAAAAATACTTAATGACAGTTCTTTAATATAATTATGTAAATTAGTTGTCATTTTGCTTGAGAAGAGGAAAGAGAAGATGGAGATGATTGGGCCTCCTTGGCTAAGAAAATATTGAGAACCACTGTAGTGGATCATACTGATGTGTAGAAAACCCTGCTAAATGAGAAAGGTAATTAATTATTTTCAGTCATTTAGCCATCACCATCAACTTAGTTCAATATTGTCTTCCTTATCGGCGGTGTATGAGGTACTGTAGAATCCAGGTTCCCTCTTTTCTGGTATTCAGAGTCTGTTAAGTATGGTAGGTGATGACCTGAATAACTTACATAGTGTGGGAGTCACTTAACCTGTTACACAGCGTCGGTCTCTCACATGGAAACAACAGCAATGAAAACTTTCTTTGAACACCTAATCATATATTTTTACTCTACTAAAGTCTTACTAGAGTCACATAAGTTTGCTGGCTACTCTAAATTACTACTGTTTTAATAACTGCTCGCTCACCCTCAGTAGACGGAATAGATGGACCAACAGACAGTCTCTCCATCCATTGTCACAATGATCCTCATATTTGGGATGAACAATTAGGATATGTGTGAGTTGTAATGGATATCTACCACTCTCTAGGGTGGCCTTCACTACCTCTCTCTTCAAAAGGCCTGTGGTTTACCACGGACACCACATCCTCATGTAGTAATCAACACGATGAGAATTGTATGGCAGTGTGTCTCAAAAGAATAAATTCCCTGATTTAAGATCAGCGTGCGTTTGTTGGGTCTACAATGTTATGTCAACTCCCCAACAGAATACAGTCACCACTTATGACTAATGAAATGACTAATAAAAATGCCACGAAGGTATCATAAAGAAACTGGTCCAGTAAGTTATAAAATTGACGATCACACGGAAACAGTGCAGAGGAAATCGAAGTAGAATTGTTAAAAACAACACATTTATTGAGGCATCTATTTCTTATGTAAAAACCTTTTATTTTGTATATTATATTTTCAAAACAAAATATCACGGAATTGTTGAAAGTTGACAATATTGATCATTCCCGCACTTCGTGCGACACTTGGAGACGGAATGAGTCAAAAACTCTACTAAGCTCCTTTTTTGGGGAAGGCGTTTGGTGTACAAATTTTCAGCTTCGTAGCTCACAAAGAGTCTGAGATATCGTCCGTAAAAGAATCAGTAAGGACGGGAACTTTACTTTCAGTTTGCGAAGTATTTCTTAAGGCAGTAATACTGTGGAGATCCCCCAGTACATTGATGATTCCTTAACAAATCATTTAGGACAGAAATTCCGCCTATTTCAGCAGACACTCTGATAAACCCGACAACTCATTTCGAGAGGGCAGGTGTTCCGTGTTGAACATGCAGGGGCTGCTGATGTTTGTTGTCTAGATAGACTTTATTTATGCATCATACTCTTGCTGACAGCAAAAATATTAACACTCTTGATATATCATGTTGTCACAGAGCATTACACATAGATGAACACGAAGCAAATCATGATAGTAGTCAAGACAGCCAATGGGGTGTTATAATGCATCTCTTGTTTGTTGATGGTATATCAGGATGTGATACATCAGCCTTTTATGGGATAATAAAGCCAAGGCCTTTTCAATGTTGCCTCACCAGAAAATATTTTGTATCCCGAATTTTAGCGACGGATCAACTATAAATGCTAACATACAAGTTATTTGAGAGAAAGTCATCAATCACTGAACTTAGAAACAAAGTCACAAACTCGGCTGAATTGGGTTGTTTCTATGTCATTTCATTCACATTTGTTTTAACGTATGTCTCCCACAAGCGGAGTTAACTTTCCATGTCTGTGAGTATATCATATAACAAAAAACACTTAGTAACATTTGAAGACTGTTTTTCATAATGTTAACGAATATCCGGTTAACAATACCGTTAGAGATGTTAGTATCCTAAACAGGCAGTAGAACTTACCACTGATATCATCACAGTTTCTAGATCTACCAAGGATCTCTCAGCCCGGTACACCAGTTGTGAAATAGAAAGGTCCTTAGAATATCACTTGTAAATAATTGTTGTAGTTCACCCAAAATAATGAGAAAAAATCCAAACATAAGGAGGCGACTCAACCACATCTGTGCCGATTACCGATAATGAAGTAGATTTTGATAAAAAGAAAAGGTGAGAAATATTGTAAATACAGATAAACGTGCAGTAATGTAATGTAAGGTTACCCACAAAAATCCTGTTGCCTCCCCTCCTGATCCACTAACCCTGAGATTCTTACTCGTGAATCTGGAGCATTAAGGGGCTGAATAATGCATTAGTGTTTACTGCCTTGGGTTGACGATTCTGAATCTTGAGGTTCGTGGTACAGGAGGAGAGGTGACAGGATTTTTGAGGGTGACTGTACATACAGGGAGCATCCTCAAAGACCGAATGCGTCAGATATAGATGGATACCTGAGAAACATTCTACTCTCACCAACAGAGTGCAATATTTTATATTGCTCCCCCCCGCGGTTTTCATGCCTCACAAACTAAAAAGATAACCGTACGCGGTTATGCACTAAGCATCACTTTATATGTATTGTAAATACAAATTCATGCCATATCTAATTTTGTTGTTGCTGTCTGGATGTTTTCCGAGAACTAAACCCTTAAAATTACAATATTAGGCTCGTTGTAGCTATTTTGACCCGAGAATCAGCCAGCCAATAATTCATCAAAGTACTGTAAGATCTCTCTCAACATTTGATATATTAATTCAGTTATCTATAGAAGAAGCTAAACCAGCAGTACTTGGATGGTACTGACAAGTTTGTGTAGCAGTGTTGAAACAATTATTATCACTTGGGCAAACATTTTTTATATATGATCCAGAACTTTGTCTGACGTAGTGTTGTTATTGTTTTGGGTTTGGTAGCCGTCAACACCTGAGTCATTACAGCAAGATGAGTTTTTGAGCGCTTGAGTCTAATGCCCGGAGTTTTAATCACCCTCTTCCGTTGAAGATGGTCGTCGTGTTGCAACCCGAGTTCAAAAAAA